TATTTTCCTGTATAACATCAGTTGCATTAAATCATTGGTATTTTCTGAGTGATCTGCAGGTAATTACCAATAAAAAAAATTTAGGGTGATTTTTGTTGGTGAAAGTCATTTATTTTGTAGTGAATTTTACATTTTTTATAGTCATTCAAACGGTCATATGACCGCTTTTTCATTTTTTGATCATTTTTTTTTGTCTCATTGACCCTCTATACACAATATATGAGTCATATGGTGTATGTGAGAATATTCAAACTTACAAACGCAAAAAAAAATTACAATTCTCATTATAATTTGTGATTTTGGCTCGTATTTGATTTCCATTTTTAGTACATTATAATAAAACGTATTTTAAGTGTATTTTATTGACTTAATTACATTGTTTAAAGTGAATTGTAATGATATTTTTGTATTCTTAAAAAAATCGATTTTTTTCTTTAAAAAAAGTGAGATTGATTTGGACCTGACTCGGGACCGGTTACAAAGTACCTTAACCGAGCCTGAGGTTTTTAGTCAAAACCAGGGCCGATTATGCTAGGAACGGTTATAGAAACAATGATTAAGATCCAAACCAATTTTTGACGATGTCTACACCTAATCTGATGGTGTTGTAGGTAGATTGGGTCCAAACATTTAGAATTCTAATATACCGGCCCGTAAATCATGAGGTATAGCCTATACTATAGTTGTTGAGGCGTTAAACAAATGGTTTGACTTCCATGGAGAATTGTTGAATTACTCCACATAAACCCTCCCACCCAATATATATAATAATTACTCAACAAAAGAAAATAAATTTTAGGGTCTAAATTTGATTACCCAAACTGACTCACTTAAGGTTTTTTTTAATTAGAAATATAATTTTCATTTCATATATATATATATATATATATATATATCTATACTATATTATAAAGCATTTGACTAAAACTCTTAAACTCTTAAAAACTCTTAAACCCGTTCATTCCTATCCGATTTCATCCCATATCTGAATTCGTGTAACGTACTAACTGCAAATAAACACAATCAAATACAGGATAAACATCTCATTTTAAATATAAAAAATCTAAAATATAATTAGGATAATCATTAAGTTCTAACAGAATACTTAATTATTATCTTTATAAAATATTATATTATTAAACCAAAAATAAATTATTTCATTATTAAACTTAAATTAAATTATAAT